TGTTTTTTGTACGCGTATCCGTATGTGTATATTAAATTGATTCCTTCGTCCGATATCAGTTGCTTTTGCAAGCCCACCGACATAGCAGCCTCTTTGATAACCGGGTTTTCCTCGGACAGGAACGCACCACTACTATGTGCGCTGAATGTTGACACAGGACTTCAGATACATAAGCACTTTTTCGGGTTGTACCAAGCAGCACAGCGATTAGTTCCTGTCGGACTATGAAGGAACACGGTGAGGCAAACGCTTTTGGGTGCTTCGACTTCGGCCAAAAGGAAGATCCACTTGAACTTACGTTTCAATTCGAAGTCAAATTTGAGAGGACGTTCGCCGTATGTAGCGATGCTGTCACAGTTAGCGGCTTTTATTGAATCAACAGTGGGGTTAGAAAGCGGAATCTTCTGTGGTAGCACACTTACTTCTGCTCCCGTATCTAAGAGGAAGCATAGACCACTTGAGCGATCGGTGATGTCAAAGAAGCGACCAGTGCGAGGAGGGCCACAGACAATCGTCACCGATACCGACTGGCTGGGGTGTTTGACAGGTTATAAAGACGCGGCTTGAAGGCGCAGTACGGTTGGCATTTGAATGCTTTATGACCGAATGATTAGTGATATTAGCATCAAGAGAGACGGGAACATGGATGTGGTCGATTTAAAGCCGTTAAATACGATCGGTCAAGTTATCAAATATATTTTGCAGTTGTGAGATGACAAAACGTATGAGATCGGAAGTTTTGGACGTGGCGGGTGTATAGTGGGAGACGGAGCTAACAAGATGATTGGGATTGGATTGGATTTGCCCGCCTTGTGAACAAGCTGCTCCAGGCTCTGGTCAACAACGAATGCACTCAAGCCGCGAGATATGGAGGGTTGAAGTTTATGGAGCAATAGTTGGGTCATGATTTCCACGTAGCTTACGGCTGCAGAGGAGAGTGCGCATGTGGCGAAGTAGTCGTGATATTGATCTGTCACCAAGTTCGACAGTGGTGAATAAATCCCGTAGCATTTTGCTTTCGAACTTCCCTGTCCTACACATCACTGCCGCTCGAAGGGCATCATACGGATTTTTTTTAGGGATATATCCAAAAGATTTTCAATTTTTGTAGCTACATTGTTAAGGAGATTTTACACGACATAAAAAAAGCGAGTAGCTTGCAAAATGATGCACCGAGTAGTGGAAACGGTCTCGACTTGGTGGAACCACGCTCTGGGATCATGAAGATTATAATCTGGTAAGCGGATAGTAACCGTGTTCTCTACTGGATTGGATGAATCGAAGTGTGATTTATTAGTACCGTGCAAAATATACTACCAAAAATATCTAATAAGACACGGGTTCATCAAATTTCAAAGAGGTCTGGCTACTCAACAAGTTGATTGATCAGGAATGTGTGTCCAAAAAATAAAAATAGTAACACTAGATTGCGTGTACAATAATAAAGAGGGCCAAATAAAACGGACTCACAAATACTTGTTCTCTTTCAAAACTGTTGCCGTTGGTCCAGGTGAGTGAATAAATAATAATACAATTGTTGATGTTCAGGGGGTCTTCTTTCAACCAGCTCTCACATGAAATAAATTCCGAAGATAGTCTGAGTGAGCACATGGTGCTCGCGAGTGGATGCCGTAAGCGCGAGCAAAAGACGATGTACGTGACTACGTTGTGTCATATGTAATTTGTACAAATGCGCGCTATGAAGTTTTGCGTATTCAGGCAAAAAACGTTTATGCAATTGACGCAATACGTAATGTCATAATGGAATTAACAGAAAGGTACAAAACGCCATGCTTATAACAACTTCATATCTTTAGTTGAACACGGATTTCTTGCGGTACAAATATACTCGTATTTATGGATAGCTTAACCCAAACCAAGGACGAGGGACTCATAAGGAATAGCATATTTACTGACTTGTAAAAAGTTTTCGATGGGTTTACACACGTTGCACTGCTTTGCAAAATCGAGTCTTATGGGATTCAGAGAAAGAATTCCACACTGGATGAAGGCGTTCTCATCAGAAATAACATTCCGGGTCGTACTAGGATCGACTACTCTCCTCCGGCGCCGGTATCCATTGGAGTTCCTCAAGGCTCTGTTTTTAAGCCCCTGCTGTTTCTGATGTACCTCAACGACCTTCCAGAAAATTTTGCAGGTTCGTGTCTACTTTTTGCAGACGACTTGAAATCCTAAAGTTCTAATGCCAGTGCCCTCCAAATGGAAGTAGACAATGCAAAGGATTAGTCGTTGGACGGGCACCTTCCACTCAGTGACGAAAAGTGCGTCCATATTTCTTTCGGAAGAGACGCGCAAACGCCTATTTTGTGCATGGTGAGAGTGAACCAGAAGATATCACGATGAAAGATGCCAAAATGGATTTAGGTATTTATCTCTTCAGACATGTCCTTTGCACTGCATTATGAGAATTCAGCTAAAAAGCATTATCTCTTCTACGGATGATTCGAGGCACCTTCTCCCGTATTACTCGCGCGGACTGCTAAACACTCTATGGGGCTTACACCACACCGCTTCTTGAATGAGCTAGCCAAGTTGTCTGCCCAGGACGCACAAAAGACATAACCCTTATGGAGCATGTTTAATGAGATGCTACGAAAAAATTTGCCTGAACTATTGAACACACCTTGGTTTGCTTGACCTTTTTCCCCTGGAAAATCGTGGCCTTCGATAAGAACTAATTCTTATCTATGCATTGTTTGAAAAAGTTTTCGCCATAAAATGTTTCATTCTTGACCCAACAAACACACGGCGAGAACATGGTAGGGAGATTTTCAAGCTCACATTCTACACTTTTATTTGAAATTATGTTTTCTAATTTCGGTTAGTCGATGCGCGGAATAACCTTCATCCGACGGTTGTCCCAGCTCCATCTAGAGCCTGGTTCAGTGCACCATTAGACACCTTTTATTGCTCGTCCTCGTGATGACAAGCTTACTGACCTACGCTAAAAACGTGAACAGCGGTGCTACACACTTTTTGTTTGGGCTTTTCAGATGAATGACTGCCGCTTAATTTCAAAGGCAGAACGCACCCAGAAAACTTTGACAAAATCCTCTATCTTGTGTTTCACACTATAAATCCATGACAATAACCTTGGATGTTTCTACGCGTTTACATTCATCCCACGCCCTCTTCTGCTTTCCGCAAAATTCCAAACCATAGGAATCACAGTTGTTTGTACACGACTGCAGAGAAAATTAAGTGGAAAATCACAGTCCAAATTTTAAAAGTCGGCCGTTGAGAGCTCCCAGGAAACCATCATCTCCTCATCAGTCCATCCAAAATAAGATATTGAATATGATGGAGTCCCAGGCCGTCCACTTATTGACACATCTGATAACCACGAACTCTTTTTAATCAATGATGTAGATAAGCATAACCGCCAAGGATTTCCTGGATTAAGCTGCATCTTGTTGAGTCTGTCAAATAACCTGTCCCCTTATGCAATCACGTTAAACATTTTCAAGCCTTCAACCGCCCTCAACGCGTGGCATTCTTAATCATCGCATGTCCTGCCCCTGCTCCCCTGTTTGATGTCATTTTTGTGTCTGTCGGTTTTGAACCTCACAAACTGTTCGATTGATTATTTCGCCATATCTCGAGCTGGCCAAGTAACTGCCAGTGCTTCACTGGTTACCCAGATGTCTCAGGGGTCATTCTTGATGAATCTGACAATCTGCACCACTAATTACGCATCCGCAACCCAAACTCACTTAAAATTTTAAACCACTTTTCATTCCTCTATCCCCGTTTTCTCATAAGAAAGCTTCCATAATATTTTTCGGAATATTTGAGCTCTAAGCTTGCTGCCGAAACCGACCGTACCAGTGTTGAAGTTTACTCTATATCCCCAAATTTCGAATACTCCAGCAATAACTCTTTCAAATCCTTCCGACTTGGAGCACGATTCATCTTAAAATTCGCCATATTCTGACGGCGCTACATACCCCTTCGAGACACAAACCTACCGGTTGGCTTCAACCACTGCATTTTGTCCTCACAACGTCGATCATACTGCCTTTAAATTTTGTACCTGCTTTTGTCATCACCGACCCTCATCTCGCCAAAACATTTACTGTCGTTTTCATAGGTGTGGCAGCTCATGAGCTGCAAGTTGACTCAACACTGGACGGTGACCGCACCGGTTCTTCCTCCCAGCTTTTTGACGTAATGTCACTGCGTATCTCGCCTTGTTCTTCAAAAAGCGCTTTCGAGGAACAAACAATCTGTCGTCAAAACCCAGCATCATAAAACAAGCGTGTGCACTAAATTTCAAGGTTCTTTATAAAAAAACTTCATTTAAAGGACGAACGTATTCCAAATTCTACGAAGAAACTCCTGTATAAAAAACTCCATTTAAAGGACGAACGTATTCCAAATTCTACGAAGAAACTCCTGTGGGCTCTTAATCAATTCATATTGAGCCCTTGGATAAAATTCATATCCCGGCGGCTAATTGTAGGCATTTTGACTTTCCCATTGTGTTTCCTTCTCTGCATAGGGCTGTCTTATTGCCTTCTCTGAGTGACACCAATGAACCACACTGTGTTCGACGGACCCAAAGATATTATGCTTTTTAGTGGTCCTACATTGTCATGATTCCACTACCAATCCTAACTACTTAAGTTAGTCCAAATGACTCACCCTGGACTTAAATGTACGTGATCTATAAGAACTCAAGTGCGATTTAACGTTGACGGTACCGCCACTGTCATACACAGTGTGATGGCTTTCCCGTAGTCCACTGTAGCTTTTCTGTTTTCCGGCCTAGAGTGTTAAATAAGCCCGCAAGACTGTCTCAATTCAGTGGATTTCTGTTGGAGCTTCAACATGTTGGCCAACCCATTGCACTGTCTGTTGGTTCTGCCTATATACTCATCAATTTCTTTTATGCCACGGTCATGGTATCTTTGTATCAGTTAGATGAAACCCCGCACACTTCCCAATACAGCGTGTGCCGGCCGTCATAGAAACCCACCAGAAAAATCCACCATCATTAGCTGTGATGACAACCTTGCTCTGTCTGGTGGGAAGATTGCTGCAGTTATATATGATATATTCCTACAGAAGTTGTAAATGGATGCTCCATCTTGAGTGTGTGCGGAAGAAGAAGAATTGAATACTGTTGATAATCCCAAAATAATTTCAAATCCCATAGCACAGAAAAACCCGGAGGAAGCAAATTTTCCACGACATTTTTCACAGTCTCCACAGAAATCACGCCAAGCTATGGTAAACGTTTAAAATACGTTTTTAACACGCGAAGATCTTGACCACGCTGAAATAAGTTTGTGTCAAAATTGGGACTAGATGTGGAGATTTTAACGTTTTTGAATAAGCACCGTCGAATGCTGAAGCTTTATGGAAACTTTTCGTCCGAACAAACTATGGCTTGAGAAAAATTTTGGGTGTGCTTGAAGGTCATCCAGCAGAATAACCATGTCTGCAGGTCACACTTGATTACTACACGAGGATTACATCCTTCTTACCAGACTTGCGGGGAATTAAGCCACAAATTAGTAACATGTTGGCATGTGCAATGGCAAAGTTTTTCAGCCAGTTGGAGGGATAGCCGGATCAGAAAAATATCGCAGCTCGTTAGAACCAAGCAAGTAGCCGCTTGAAGGTCAGGTCTCGAGAAAGACAAATAACGGTAGCTCCGAAATTTACTGGGGATTTTCAGAGCATATGAAGTAGAGCACCAGTGCCAACTTTTATTTCGAGCAGTGTCGCACAGGACTGCTATTTGATCGGAGGGTGTGGTTTGGTCCGTAAGAGTGAAGAACTATGGCTTTTTTGTTTTGCATTTGTGAGTGCGTGACGAAACATAGCTCTTTGCATTGAAGAAAGCTGACTGAGTGACCACTTTTACTGGAACCTCGTCCTTCTGTGCTCAAGTCACGACCGGATTCATCATCTTGGCATATCCTCTCATCTCTTTATACATAAATCCGAATTCTGTGGCCTACAGCATCTTTCTGTCTTTTCTGGCTTCGTAGAACGTTAAACTCCATATTGGTGCGTTGCTATTTTCCCGCTGCTCTGAGGCGTTCTACTCATCACTGCTGATCAAATAAACCCCACCCTTTGCACACTTCCAGCTACATTACCTCACCACACACCAACGCTTACTTATATTTGGACTTCAGTTTTACAGGCATTGAGGATATTTATCTCTCATTCTAAAACCTAGTGACCGGAACATTCTCAAATTCTTCACTAATCTTTTTAATATCCCTCAGCATTGTCACAGTTTCATGACACGAAAATCTTTAGACCATCGTCTCATAATATAAATTACGCTCACAGACGGGCCTATCGTTGCTCAAAAAAGCCTGCCCATCTTAATTCGCTTATTGAGTTATATCGTTTTTTGCTGTTTCTTTCGCACGATCTATTGCCTCGAAAATGTTAGAATCTATTTGTTGAACCTAAATTCAAAGCAAGATTCAAGCTATCTCTACTTCATCTCTTAGACATTTTTCCGGTTATCCGCGAAATCTATTGTCTGGCCATTGCCATTGTTTTGTTCGTTGTTCAAGCTGTAGAAAAATTAAATCGGTAGGACTCTACCATCTCATTGTACTTATTCACGCGATTCATCAATTTTGGTTGTAAATATTGGAGTGGTTTGGAACATGATCCGTTTTTCTGCCTTCCACACTGCATACCGGTGGTGAATTTGAACGTACTGCACAGTAATCGCGGAGTTCACTTTCCGGAATTGTACACATAGGCAAACTTCCGTTACCAAATATGTTTGAAATCTCGTAACCCCATGAGAGGCAATAAGCACTATGGAATCTGAAGCTGTATAGCCCAGGATTTCACTTGAACAGTATATTTTTGTGTCGTAGAAATAAGACATATAAACTGGTCTCCTTTAGATGGCGACTTAAACTTGCACGTGTTTTTGGTAATATCGTGGCATATAGAGTATCAGTAAGAGAGAAAAGCTTTCAAATGTGTCTCCTTAGCAAATTTTGAACTACGGTCTGCCGTTTTCTAAGGGCCTATTTGCAGAATCTTCGACAATAAAGCATTTCTGGATAAGTTTCTTTTATGAAAGCCTCCTGCCTTGATGAGGATTTCATTCGCATATCAGTAGCCGGCAGTCCATTATCCAGTAGAAGGCGCAAATTCTGTAACCGATAAATTGGTTGCTTCAATATCCTTGTCTTTGACGAACAAATATCTTTTTGTGGTGTATTTGTCATACAAGTCTTCAAGAACGCATTGCAAGAATACAAATCTGCTCTCGAAGAATACGCAGCACAACCATACAAGATGCTCCATTTATTTCCATGGCAATGATATCAGAAAATGTATCACATCTCATGACAGAAGGCTATGCTCACGTCTTGAATGCTATGACTCTGTTTTGTTAGAAGATGATTGCTGCAATAGATGAGATTGTTATTTTTCATGCCTATCCGTTCATTCAACATAGTGAAACGGTGTTTCGAACGGTGTAGTCTGAAGTGCTAGAGGAGCTCTGTTTTTCGTCTGCAATGCCGGTGCTGCATGAAAACTAAGACAAAATAACCATATCTTGTTCCTAACTGGCTCTCCCTGAGAACTCACACTTTAATTCTACAACAGATTCACAACTTCAAGTTCACTCGCCATTTAAACCGAGGGTGCACCCTGAATTACGACACTCTCAGCGATGGTCTTTAGTGCTTCGCTTCGAATCAACATTATGGGATGGCTTTTAAGGGCCGTCATAAATCTAAAAATATACACTATCCGGTTTGCTTCTGGATGACGGCACACTTGGGTCATACGCTTATTCAGTTTGAAGAGGTGCCGGGGATTTCATTACATGGCAAATAATGTAAGATATTCAAAGAGTCGAAACCGAAGGCAGCTCAGCATTGCCTGTAATTGATTATTCATTTATTTGTTCCATAAGGATGTAAACCTTCATCTGGCATACATGCAGGTTTCCACGTTGATATATGTGAAACCGCACTTGTTTGTTTCAGTAAAATAGTAATATGCTTAAAATAATACAATATTAATGAATATTTAATAATATAGTACCAACGTGGAAGCCTGTAATTCAACGGCGCACAAACTGAACAGGTACCTCGTTTCACTCAAAGTAACCGGTCCAGTCGTTAAGTTTAAAAGCGAATGTCCGTACATTCTGAATCCACGTGATTCTAACCTCGACTATCTT